TCCCCCAGCCGCTCCCCAGCAGCCTGGGGCTCCACACCCCTCCCCACCTTCCTTGCCCTTCTCTGGACACGCTCCAGCCCCTCCAGGTCCTTCTGGGAGGCAGGGGCCCAACCCTGAACCCAGCATTCCAGGGGCGGCCTCCCCAGTGCCCAGCACAGGGGCACGGTCACTGCCCTGCTCCTGCTGGCCACACCAGTCCTGATACAAGCCAGGATGCCGTTGGGCCTCTTGGCCACCTGGGCACACTGCTGGCTCATATTCAGCCGCCTGTCGACCAGCACCCCCAGGTCCTTTTCCGCTGGGCAGCTTCCCAGCCACTCTTCCCCTCGCCTGTAGCGTTGCGTGGGGTTGTTGTGACCCCAGGACAGGACCCGGTCCTTGGCCTTGTTGAACCCCGGCCTCGGCCTCGGCCAAAAGCAGAAGAAACCACAGTCCCAAGAGGGTTGGCACAGGCTCTCCGTGCAAGTGTTTATTGGCACACAAGAGGGATGCCACAGCTGCCGGCGCAGTGCTGGTCCCCCAGGGAAGGATGCTGCAGCTCCGCACGCCCCCGGATGCATTGCTGCCTCCATCACTGCAGCGCTGGGGACACCTGGGAGAGAAGAGGGGCTGCGGTAATGCTTGGCTGGAATGGGCGCCAGGGTCCCCTGGGGTGGTGGTACCCAATGTGGCAGTAGCACCCACGGTGGCAGCGTTGAGCTGGCCCAGCCCGAGCAGGCTGAGGGCAAAGTGGACGCAGTTGCAGGTGACAGCGTCGTACTCCACTGCCTGGTCCATGGCTGCCCGGATCCGCTGCTGCAGGGCGGCTGCATCCAGCCCTCCCTTCCTCCGCAACACCTTGGCTGGGCCCCGTGTCCGCAGGAGGTGGCACTTGCCGTGCTTGGCCACGATCCCCGATGGGGACATCCCTGAGCTGCCTGCGGGGTGGAGGGGACACTGTCCCCTGTGTCCCTTCCACAGGGATGTCCCCATGTTGTCACCACCTCCTGGGGCTCACCTTCCAGGTGGATGATCTCCCCATCACCGCAGTAGATGCCGGCATGGGCGCCCCACCAGCCAGGGCCACCCGAGGCCAGCGGGAAGAGGAAGAGGTCCCCGGGCTGAGGCTTGGCCACCCCATCGGGCACTATGTCGAAGTGCTGGCCCAGCAGCCCCTCGCAGAGGAAGAAGGCCGCTGTGCTCGCCGCCCCAGCCACTGCCTGGGGACACACCTGCGTTTCAGGGCCACTAGTGGCCTGGGGACAGCAGAAGCATCACTGACCCCCTGGCTCATCCCCGGTGCCTTGGGCACAGCTTGGGTCTCCATGGATGGGAAAAGCGTCTGAGAAGGGGCCATCTCCTCTAGGTGCTGAGCACCCATGGGTGCTGAGGAAAAGGCAGGGTGTGCAGGATCTGGCCCTGTTGTGCCAGGGGTGAGACAGGTGGTGTGGGGCGCAGGGGGACACCAACACTTACCTGCCTGGAGTTGCTCACCTGGAGGGAGAAAGAGCTGGCATCAGCCCTGGTGGCACTGGGGAGAGGGGACCCAGGCCACCGGTGTCATGATGCAGCCCCTGCCCAGACCGCTGCCACCCCCCGGCCCAAGCCCCTGGCCAGGTTCCCGTGCCAGCACTCCCAAATGTGTCATACCCAGGAGCCCAGCCAGCGCTGGAGCTGGAGGACTGGCCCATCTGGGGCTCGCAGGGTCTGCACCAGGGTGCTCACCTGTGGGGAGAAGGGGCAGAGCGAGCCCGGGACACAGCCCCTGCTGGACCCCCTCACCTGCTGGCACCCATCCCTGGTAGCACCCATTCCTGGTAGCACTCAACCCCTGGTAGCACGCAGCCCTGGTAGCACCCATCCCTGGTAGCACCCACCCCCTCGTAGCCCCCACCCCTGCTAGCACCCAGCCTCAGCCCACAGCAGCCTCCCAGGAGTTCCTGTCCCCACAGCACCCCCAGACTCAGCACGGGGCAGGTCCCAGCTGTGGGGTCTGGGGGTGCCAGCTGCCACAGCAGAGGAGTTGCACAGTGTGGGGTGCGGGTGCCCTCCCTGCCAGCTCCCCCTTTACCTGAATGAGGAGGTTCATCTGCAAGAGAAAACATGGTCTCCAGAGAGCTGGGGACCCAGGCCCATGCCCAGCCCCACCTCAGGGACATCTTTGTCCCCAAATCGATGTGGTGCCACGTCGCCCTGTTGAAACTCAAGCAGCGGCCTCAGGCACTCTGCCACCCCTGGCACTCGTGCTGTGCCCAGCTCCCTCACCTTAGGAACGCCTCTGAGGTCCCCTTTCTCCACCATGGTCCCCTAGCAGCTGCTGCTCCAAAGTTGTCCACCGGACAGGACCTCAAGGCACCCCAGCGAGTACTGTGATGGCTCTTGGCACCCGCACATGGCTCCACCGGTGCCTGGGAATGTGCCCGGACCACACCAACCGGCCCCACCATGGCACCGAGCCCATCCCATGGGGCCAGTCCCAGGGGGACAAACACAACCTGGTCTGACATTTCATTAACAAGCCCCTTGAGTGACCCCAAAGGAGTCATGAAATGGCTCTGTGGCCACAATGCACTGATAGCCACTGGCTGCTGCTCTGGTGCCAAAACACCCCTTGGTGCTAAAACGCCTCTTGTCTTGAAAGTGGCCCAAGGGATGGCCACCAGCCTGACCCCAGCCCCGTGTCCCAGGGGCGGTGCATGCCCGGGGTCAGCTCTGGAGCCACATTAAACTTTAATCCTTGTGCCGGGGGGTCAGCAAAGGCTTTGGCAGGGCTTGGGGCGGGTGACGTGGGAGCTGTCACCCTCTGTCATCAGTCAGCTTCCACAGCATCATTTATCACGGAGCCTCCAATAAACAAGAGCTAATTACAGCTGAAACCGGAGCCTGGCCTGGACTCGGCTCAGCGCTGGGCAGCTGCGTTAACCCTTCCCAGCCACCTCCACTCCCACAGCCATCTTGTATCCTCCCAGACCTTCATGTCTTCTTCTGGTTGCTCTTGTCCCCTCCTGATCCCCACCATCCTGCCCTGGTCCCTATTGTCCTGTGCTGATGTACCCTCCAGTTCTCACCATCCCCTTCCGGTCCCCAGTGTCTCCTCCTGATCACCATCCCCTCCTGGTCTTTACTAGCCACTCCTGGGCTCCATCACCATCTCCTGGTCCCCATCATCTCTCTCTAGGTTCCCTTGGCTCCTCTTTGTCACCATTGTCCCCTTCTGGTCCCTGTCGTCCCCTCCCAGTCCCTAGCCTCCCTCCCTCCTGATCCCCATTTTCCCTCCCAGTCCCCATCATCCCACCTCAGTCCTCACTATACCCTCGTGATCCCCGTCTAGCCCTACGGCATCCCACTGTCCCCTCCTGATCCCCATCACACCCTCCTCGTCTCCATCATCCCCATGCAGTCCCTACTGCCCTGTCCCTGTCTCCATCATCCCCTCCTGGTCCCTGCCATCACCTCCTGCTCTCCACCATCCATCATTGTCTCCTGGTCACCATCAAAACATCCAGGTTCCCATTGCCCCTTCCTGATCCTCATCGTCCCCTCCCAGTCCCCATCACCTCCTCCTGGTCACCATCATCCCCTCCTGAACCTTATCGTACTCCCCTTGATCCCTGTTGTCTCCTAGTACCCACCATTCCCTCCTGATCCCCACTACCCTCTGCTGATCCCCACTGTCCCCACCTGGTCCCCACCATCTCCCCTTGGTCCCCATTGTCTCCTCTTGGTCCCCTCACCACCTCTTTGTCCCCAGTGTCCCCCCACATTTCCCACCGCCCTGTGCCATCGCAGTAGGGGGGCTGCCAGAGCAGCGGTGCCTCACTGGGTCACACGATGTCCCCAGCTGAGCTGCCCCTGGCCAGGGTACAGCTGTCAGCTCCCCGCGGCCCATGGGATTAGGGTGGCTGGAGCCTTTGGGCTGCTCCCAGCCACAGGTTAGGCCGTCACCCGCATCTTTGGGTAATCAGTAAATTAGTAATTAAATGCTCTCTGCCTGCTGGTGGGGGGGGGGAAAGGGGGGCAGATCCCCTGGTTTTAGGCTGGGTAATCCCATGGCATCTGCCCCAGCATCTGTCACCGAGCTGAGTCACAACCCCACCGCAGGCTTTAACGTTTGCTCCTTCACCCCCACCCCGCCGCCCCTCAGCCCCTTGGCCGTGCAGTCAGGCCCACTTGGGGTGCTCCCCAAAAACCAGCCAGGTCGAGCCCCCCCGGGAGCTGGGGTTGGGTGTTCATGGGGTGGTCAGCCCTGGGAGGAGGACAGGGTGCTGCTCTGTGGGGACCCCACTGTAGGGACATCACCCAGCTCGGTGTAATGGAGAAACGGGGTGGGAAACCATATTTTTGTAATTATTGGCTTTCCGGGGCATGCTGATGATTGGCCAGCAACAGATGGTTGGCCCAGCTAATCCCCCTCCCAAATCCCTGCTCCAGAGCTGGCTTTTACCCGATAGCAAGGAGGGGACAGGCAAATTAGCCGACTCAGCGTGTATCACCATGCTGGCTGCTCCCTGTTGTCCCCCGGCACCAGGCGCCCAGGGTCTCTGCGTCGGCCATGGGTGGGCTGGCACCCTGGGATGCAGGTGCCCCCAGCACCCCCAGATTGGGCACCGGGGGTTGCTTCACCCATGGGCAAAGCTCTGCTGAAAGGTCTGAAGGCACCTAAGCCATGGGCAAGGGATGGGCAGAGCAAGGTGACAGCTTGCTCCTGCCGCATTAGCCCAGCGTCATAATTCTGCCGAGGGAGGAGGGCGGCCGCTGCCGCAGATGGCGGCTGTCAGAGATCTGGGTCAGGGCAGGGGGTCTGCCGCAGGATGGAGGGCTGTGGGGTGGGATGGGGCACCCCAGGGGAGGCTGGGGGTCCCAGGGGTGGAGGGGTGCTGCAGGCAGGAGAGGTTGAGCAATGGTGCAGGCAGGGGGGGGTGAGCAATGCTGCAGGCTGGGGGGGTGGAAGGGGGGTGTGAGGAGGATGATGGAGTGATGCCATGGGCAGCGGGGCTGGAGCCACGCAGCAGGCAGGGATGATGGAGGGGTGACCCCCAGCTCCTGGATCCACTGGTGTCAGTGCCGCCAGCCCTCAGCAGGGACCTGCTGCCAGCGTCCGTCCCCTGGGATGCATCCACCTGGGCCACGGATGGCGGTGACACCCCAGGGGCCGCAAGCTGAGCCCCCCCTGGAAGGGACACAGGGGACTGGGGACCCCCGGCTGCAGTTTAGCCCATTCCCGGGGACAACCTGGCTGGGTGGCAGTGGCCATCCGCCATCCCCCTGAGCTGGGCAGGGGGGTTTAGCGGCTAAAGCCCTCAAATCCCAAATTGTGCTGCCCTGTCACAGCGAGGGTTTAGTGGCGGTTGCGTAACCTCGGG